TTATCTGGATGAGTGCTGATTCGGGATTCGTCAACGAAGAGACAGTTTTGCCAAATGTTTTCGTCCTCACCTTCTTCATTTTGCCGAAGTCTAGCCCACTGCAATCTTCGTTGTTGACGTTGCCGGGAATTGAGCGGAGCTCGCCAAGACCTCCGTGCTCGTAATCCAGCCTGGTGCAAGCAATTGCGAACGTTCTGCGTGCTAACTTCAAGCCCAGAGGCGGCCCTGACTTCTGCTTTTATTTTAGTGGCGTTGATTGTTGGATCACGGGCTGCCAGCAATCTAATATAGCGCTTTTGGGCAGCTGTCAAAACAGTTGGGCGACCGCTGCGGGGTCGGTCAGCTAAATTCCCCATTCCGTGATACCTCTGCAACGTAGCCACGACACAGGATTGGGATATAGCAAGTCTGCGTGCTATTACTCTCGTGGTGTATCCTTCTTCCCTCAAAGTTACTATTCTAGCTCGTAAAACCTCTGATAATCCTCTTGGCATTTTTTCAATCACAACTTTCCGCGAAAAATATCTTGAATCGCTTATAATTGACTAAATCAGATTTCTGAATGAGCGTAAGCTAGGACTGAAAGCCTTTTTATATGAAAAAACAATTGAACGGGGTCATTGTTTTATGTTCTAATTTATTTTTAAATAAAGAATCTAAAAAGAAGAAAAATCATAATATCTACAGTAACAAAAAAGATTTCAGTTTTTCGAAGTGATCGCAAACTTTTTTTGATGTGTGTATAGTGCTAAAACTGCTAAAATCCCTTGATCTCTCTAAATCTGGTGGTTCTGATCATATTCCTCCTGTATTCATAGTAAAGTGTGCTGACAGCCTTGTAGTTCCACTGTGTTTGCTTTACAAAAAATCTTTAAATGAAGGCATTGTTCCATCAATATGGCAATCTGCATTTATTACGTGTATATAAGAAGGGTGATAAATCACATATTGAAAATTATTGTCCGATCTCCAAGTTGTGTCTTTTTGCAAAAATATTGGAAAGGCTGGTATTCAGTGATGTTTATGCGGTGTTGAATTGTACATTTAATGAACACCAACACGGCTTTTTAAGAAATAGGTCCACCGTCCCTAACTTAGTCATCGCCAATGAATTCATAACAAGAGGCATGGAGGGCCGTGCACAAGTTGATGCAGTTTACACTGACTACACTAAATGTTTTGACCGCATACATCACAATGTGCTTCTGAACAAGTTGATGGTAGCAGGCATCCTTGGAGATTTATTGCGCTGGTTTGCGTCTTACGTAGCTAATAGGAGTCAGGCGGTTGTGTTGCGTGGCTTTATGTCAGGGTTCTACCCTTGGACCTTTATTATTCATTATCTTCATCAATGACATTGGATCTTGTTTTATTCACTCGAAAATCCTGCTCTTTGCTGATGCTAAAGCTTTGAAGGTGCTAAAAGTCATATGTGGGCAAACAGATGTTGACGGTCTTCAGGCAGACTTAAGCAGATTTGAAGCCTACTGTACCATAAATAGGCTTGAATTTAATGTGTCCAAATGTTTTTACATGACATTCACCCGTAAAACATCAACTATAGGCACTGGTTACAAATTACATGGCACCGACATATTGAGAGTCAGTGAAATGAGGGACTTGGGTGTACTCCATGACGACAAACTACTTTTTGACAAGCATATTAACTGTGTAATAAGTAACGCATCAAAGGCACTTAGATTCATTATTCGGACATCGGCGACGTTCAATAATATCAAATGCATTAAAATTCTTTATTGCTCTTTGGAAGTCACCTTGAGTACGCTTCACAGGTCTAGAATCCATGCTATGAGACCTATAAGTCTCGATTGGAGGCAATTCAACAGAGATTTTTACGGTATCTGGACTACAAAACTAAACAATTTTCATCAGGTTATGAGCATAGGTGTACTAGGTATCATTTTTTGCCGCTTCGTATCCGTCGAGACATTAGTGACGTGAGTTTTCTGATGTGATTGTCCAGAATTGTTGTCACACATAAACCTGCGCACAAACTTGTTGCATTACAGATGTCGACTACCTCTGCAAGTGCCGTTTGCGAGCACTAATTATAGGCAAAATACGTACACGGTGCGTGCTTTGACACCTTAGAATAATAACGCATAGAAACCTAGTCCGCACACGCTAAGTGAGGCAAATTGTAGGACGCCGTATAGGCCTACATAGCGAGCGGGCAGTCAGTGCTCAAGGTCAAGTTGTACCGCGAACAGCTCAAAGATTTTTGCTAAAAATGACGAAATGTGCGGTAATTGGGTTTAAAAATAGATCAGACAAACATAGAATAGACACTAACATCACATTCCACAAGGAAGTAACGCGTTTCAACTTGTATTTTTATGTAAATATTCACTAAAACAGAAAATTAATTTCGTTGCAACAAAATACGAAAATGTTGCAAAGTAACGGGTTTTTTCTCCCCATTTCGCTATTCTGTTTCAAACGTAATTTTTGAGAATAGGCAATATCGCGACGTTTGCAAAACTTCTACAATTGTACACCGCCGCAACAACATTGTCGGGAATTTACGTTAGCTATTTCTACGAAATATATTTAGTATTGCCTTCATTAGTTCATGTGAAAAATCATTATTCTTGTTCATCATACACTCATTTTAAAAAATTGTCTTGGCCAGACTCAAAAGTTCGTAACTAAAATTATTTCAGGGAACTAACACTGACTAAAGTCATCGTCAGTTCTCCAAAATCGTGTATAAATAACTTTCAGGTTCAGGTTCTTTATTGTTATCGTGTACTTTTCATGTAAACATACCCACAGATAATATCAGGCTATTTATATGTATATTCAAATTCGATAGTCGCACTTAAACTCGCATGTAGGTTTTTCAAAAATGTATTTTTGGTAAACCATAAGGAAATGGCATGTATATCTGAAGACAAGATAGCGGGCTAGACTTCTAATTCTTCTTCTTCTAATTCTTCGCCATCTTGGATTTAGAAATATGTGCCAAATTCGGAATGAGCAGTCCCAAATACCTTGAAAACGACAACCAACTTGCTATTATTCGAAAAATCGTGCCCGCCATCTTGGATTTAGAAATTAGTGCCATATTCTTAATAAGCACCCCCAAATACCTCGAAAACGACACCCAACTTGCTATTATTTGAAAAGTCATGTCCGCCATCTTGAATTTAGAAATAAGTGCTATATTCCTAATGAGCACCCCCAAATACATCGAAAATGATACCCATATTGCATTTATTTCAAAAGTCGTGTCCGCCATCTAGGATTTAGAAATAAATGCCATATTCTTGATGAGCACCTCGAATACCTCGAAAACGATTCTCATTTTGCGTGTCCGCCATCTTGGATTTACAAATGAGAAAAGTCGTGTCCGCCTTCGTGTATTCAGATATAAATGCCATTTCCATAAGGATTACCAAAAATAAATTTTTGAAAATTCCTGTCACTTGATGTTGTCGATCAACAGTAACAATCGACAAAATCGAGCATATCTGTAGGCACCTGATCGAGATTGTCGATCGACAAAATCGAGCAAATCTGTAGGCACCTTTAACTTAATGATGAGTTAAGCAAGATACAATTTCCCCACTTTTGAGGGAAATGTTATTCCATGGCATCATTATTTGTATATTTGTGTGCGTGCCGACGAGCGTAAATACAAGTTGCTTACGCCTACATGAATTTGATTTTTGCCTCACTTGTGACAGTTCGTTTGATATGAAACTATCATTCTATGCGTTATTATTCTAAGTTTGAGACTTTATAACAATGCGACAGTAAATCATACTGAGTTTGATTTGTTTTGTTCACAGACACAGTCAGGCGTGAAATGAACAAACGTCACTTTGACACATCACGTGATTGGCGATGAATACACACTGGTTTGTTCGTTTAATTCTTAGACTTTTTTTTTCTTACCGTCCTCTAATGTTTAATTGTATATCATTCGCTCTGGGACTTTTGGAGGGAAAACTGTCGTTTTTAGTTTTACTTTCAATTATTTTGTAAAATCTAGTTTAAAGTGGAATAGGATAGTGCTGTTGTGCCTTAATCGAAGATTAAAACGCGAAATTATACGAATCTCGAACTAAAATATCCGTATCTGCCCGTTCTAAGGAATCCCGAGCCAATCCAAACACGCCGCTTCAAATTGCCTATCACCTTTGTGGCGACCATATTTACAGAAACATAATTAAACGAAGACATGGCTCAAAATACTTAATAATGTACCAAGACTTGGCTGTATGGTGTAAAACCTGTGCCTTTTCCTTTATGGAAAGAAGAAAAAAAATAAATTAATTGTATATTAATCATAGATACTTATCTATGATATTAATAGTAAGCTTTATTTTATTTTTTAAATTTATTGACTGCGTTCTTTGTATTCTCCTATAATCTCTTTTTGGCTTGCTAAGCACTTTATATTGTTTCATGTTGGTGGAAATTCGTAAATGGCATGGCATTACTCATTTAAGTATACTATAATTATATTATTTGTCCGTGAATTTTCCTAAAATGTATAAATAAAATTATACTTTCTATTCCGTAGTCATGGTCTTATTACGAGACTACATTCCATTTCGTTGCTTACCTTGCGAGAAGTGGTTAAAGAGACGATAAATTAAAGAAGAATTTAAGAGAAGGTAAATTTTGACGACCTCTGTGGTCACGAGTTGGATCCCGGCTGGGTCAGTGTAGAAAATCTTTTATATAAAAATATATATTTGTTTATTTATTTTGTCTCTACATACAAGGTAAATTATATAAACGCTTCCTGACTTAGTTAGTTTTAACATTAAACCTTATTTGCGAGGGACTGGTGCCTAAAGTAGGTAGGTATAAAGATGCCTGTATTACAGGTCATCAGGTCCCCTTTTCGCGAAGAGTAATACAATTAAGTTAAACTCAATTTTTCTATTTTCTATTATTATCTCGGGCCTGGGTGTTGTATAGTTCACAACAAACTATTGCGAGCCAATGATGTTGTGGAATCTTACCGTCAACGGTGAAGTTCCCTCGTGAGGGGAACGGATAGAAGAGGCGATGAGTTAGGCGCCAAGAGCGATTTCTCGCCACGTCGACCACTACCAGCGCGTAGGTAGATACGTCTGCTACGTACACATATGTATCACCGCAATCGCCTGGTCTTACATCCACCACCTGAATTAATTGTAATTAACACTGTCATTAGAAAGAGTAGAAAAACTTATGGCAACAAATTAATGTGCAATGGTTATAGAAGTAGACAAACAAGAAGCTTATTCTTCCTGATGTACCAATAAGAAAAAGAAAAGTGCATCAAAAAACGGTTTACTTAGTTGTTTCTAAGGACCAATAACTCAAGATGACTGTTAATCGCAATGCAAGACAGCACAGTCGACAATTTAGTAGTATGTCCTCCAATTTATCAAAGCTATTCGTAGGTTTAGTAATAAAAAACAAATTAACTAGATGGCGTTTATTGCACACATTTTTATAGATAATGCCGTATCATTTTATTTTATTTATGATTAGCTCCGTCTATCTACCCACAGAACAATAAATACAGTGTTAGTGTATAGAAGTGGTTAGTTAGCGTCTGACGCGTGCCAACATTTAGGGTCGTATTCTAGAACTCTACTCAATGCTCAAGTCAGGATTTGAGTATGGTTTAAAGCACTAGAATTCATACTCAAGTCCCTGCCATTAGGGTCGTATTTCCAGTGATTGTGTTGCCAGTGCAATCCTTACTTGACCATTGAATAGAGTTCTAGAATACGACCCTAAGTCTCTTTAGACCTACTGGAGCTTAGTCCGCCAATTTCGCTTTGTAGGGTATGGTTGTGTCATTCTTGTGCGCAAATTCATTAAAATCGTAGATAAATGCCTTATTGTGCTGCTTTGGAGTGCAAAAATGACAGCCGCACCAAAAATATTACCCGTAGTAGTATTTCATATCATCGGTAAGTCTTATTTTAATCAAGAAGAATGGCGACAACTACCCAAATAACGAATAATATATTTTTGTATATTTTTTGGGTGCCAACGAGTGCCTTTGAGTGCCGGCGAGTGCCTTTGAGTGCTTTTCAGTGCCTTTGAGTGTTTTTGAATGCCAGCGAGTGTCTTTGAGTGCCAGCGAGTGCCTTTGAGTGCCAGTGATTGTTTTTGGGTGCCTTTGAGTGCCAGCTAGTGCCTTTGAGTACTAGCGAGTGCCTTTGAGTACTAGCCAGCGCTTTTAAGTGCCTTTGAGTGCCAACGAGTGCCTCTGAAAGCCGGCGAGTGCCTTTGAGCCCTATTGAGAGGCTTTGGGTGCTTTTGAGTGCCCGCGAGTGCCTTGGAGTACCAGCGAGTGCTTTTGGGTGCATTTGAGTGTCTTTGTGTGCCCGGGAGTGCCCGCAAGTGCCTTTGAGTGCTTTTGAGTGCAATCGCGTGCCTTTGGGTGCCTTTGAGTGCCCGCGAGTGCCTTTGAGTGCCAGCGAGTACCTTTGAGTGCCAGCGAGTACCAGCGGAGTGCCTTTGAGTACTAGCGAATGCCTTTGAGTGCCAGCCAGTGTCTTTCCGTCTTTCTGTCACTCAAAGTCTCTCGCGGGCATTCAAAGGCATTTGAGGGCACTCAAAGGCACTCGCTAGCACTCAAAGGCACTCACAGGCACTCGCGGGCGTTCAAAGGCACTCGCTGGATATATATGTCTACCTATATGTATATAGCATACGTATTGGTTTAGTAGGTGTTAGTTTCGCCCACGGGAACTAGATGGCGCTATTTTAATGAAAACCACAAGATGGCTATCTATGTATACTGTAATGCTCGTCTACGAACTGATGCGAAATGCGGACCTCATCTACGGCGCGGAGTTGAGGACATAATTCTCCTAAACGGCTCTCTCCGTCTCTTTCGCACTCATTTAAATTAGTCGGCTAAGTGATTTTGAATTGAATTTCCTTTGTGTTAGAATTAATTATCGTTTAAGTATTTCCAATGAAGTCTGTACAGTTTTTTAAAATAAAATATTGATCAACCAAAAACCGTTATATTCTATATACGAAGCTGAACAACTGTACAATAATGGACCAACTTAGTAATTTGAAACAAAATCCATATACAATGTTATACAGCTGTTTAATATCGTGTGTAGAGTTTTTTTTAACAAAGTATTAAAAAATAATAAAGTTCACGCGAAAATACAGGGATTTACGGTACTTAAACGTACTCGTATTTATCACTGCGTATAGGTCAATGCTGCGTAAAAAAAGATATAACAAGCAATATATTATACGTACATGCTACTAAATTGTATCAATGTTTACAATTAAAATTAAAAATATACTTTGTTTCACTATATAAATAATAAACCACGATTAGAAATATTTGTCCACGTTTTCGGATAAATATCGAGTAAAAATGGATAAATATGGATATTTATCCATATTTATCTTTCTACTGAGCATTTATCCCAATGATATTTATCCATTACCCATCTCTACACGGGATGTCGCCATCCTTCTTTCATTTTCTGTTTATTGAAACTAACTTAATGCTGTAACTACAACCTAACCTTTAAACGCCATTGGTTACCAGAAATAAATTACTGATTGTAATCGTCGCATGCAAAAATAATCCAAGTTATAAGGCGTCAAGTTTGTTGATAGGACCAATAGGAAATTTGTATGTGTCTAACGGTGTGTGGAATCAAAAGGATCTTGCTTAGCGTTTATGCCAAATAGGGAATGGAGTGTATGAAAACCTCCCCGCACGATGTATTTTTTCCTATCCTGTACCTCTAGCACACCTTGGGCAAGAATCAGAGAGTATCTTACGTGCATTAACAAATTATTACATCACCATGGCAAGCATTATTGCATATGCCATCGACACCTTAAGAAGAAGACAATGCTAACTTACTAAAGTAATAAACCCTGAACGTTCATTATAAACAGACTGGTTGAACCGGTATCGGTAGACGAGCTTGTCATTGTCGAGGTCGAAAGCCAACAACTGTGGAGAACAGTGTTGCGTGCCGCCGCCATTACCTGTGTCCATCACCCAAAGTCGGTTGCATTCGTCTATCTGAAATTGTGTACATTTGAATTTTAATTATTGATTACCATGGATATATTCGTTTTATTTTTCGTGAAATTACCCCACTAGTTTGTTATAATTATTAATACAAAGATCGCCTATAATACGTTAAATTCAGTCATTCATAAACTGATTTTTAATTTTGCAACTTAAATTCGTAATATTGATAAGGTTTTAATTATAAATTTTTGATTGTATTTTAATTTTGATTTAATAATTTTATAGTACCTATTAAATTTTGTTTTTGTAATTTCAATTTACTGCTCATAATTTTTATTTCTAAGTCAATGTCATAATTATTTAATTTTACAAATTTTAGTGACGTGGTCAATTCTAACACTAGTTTTTAAGTATCTTTACTAACAAATATTATGGATTGAGAATGTCTAAAAGAAATAAATAATTATTATAATTATTAATATAAAGATCGAACACTCAGAAAAATTCCTTCGATCCGGTGGGATTCGAACCGACGTCTTCTTGCATACCGTGCCAGTCGCTATACCAAATAAGCCACGGAACGAACCAACGGACCTCACGAATTTTTCTATGTGCTTGCGTCGTGTCTTTGTACTTGGTCTGTCTACGACTTTTTAGTCGTAGCGACATCTATGAGAAATCTATTGCAGATTTATCACCCAGTTAGTACCTTTACAGCTACCAGTCCTGGCGAGAGATGTCGCTATTCACTGTATTAATTAAATTTTTATTTAATTGATATTCAATTATTTTTTGTGAAATTACTCCACTAGTTTGTTATAATTATTAATACAAAGATAAAACCGAAGTGTTTGGTCGAATATACGATTGCATAAACTTTTTATAGAACATTCTGCCAATAATCGACTTCGTTAAAATCCCGATTCGTCACATCACTAATAGTAATAATCTCAGTACAGAGTACTAAAAAAACTGACTTCAAAAGTTCGTGGAATTCTATCTGTTTGCCAAGTTTTATTGAATTCGGTTACCGAAAAGTATGCGAAACCGGATTCATCCCCTAGTTCGCCACTATACGGAACTTAACACAAGAGATAACAAAAATTAGTATATTGAAAGAGAAAAACGCCTTCAATTGGAGCATGGCAAAATCAACCATTAAAATAATTGCTCCCTATAAAATTTAGGCGCTATTTATAAAAAAATAAATCTTCATGCGAAAATATTCACCCTTAGAGGTGGAATATTTTCTTCAAAATTAAATGGGACCACTACTTAGATACCCTCTTTCCAACAAAAAAAGAATAATCAAAATCGGTTTTTAGCATTATTTGTGTTTCACATGTTCGACGTTACTTACCGCAGTCCTAAATACTGACGTTAGTCCTTCGCAGTTCTGACCTTGATTTTCGTGCCAGGAGTAGTCAGGGTATCCAGAGATTTTGCCGTTCTCGTCCACTGTGCCCAGAGTCACGGGACGACCTTCGCCGAAGCGAGGTGTCGTTACGAAAATTCGTGGTGATAGAGTGTCTAAAATTGGATAAAGTGTTTGAACTGGTTGTTCTTGAATAATAATAATAATAATAATAAATAAATAACGCACACACTCAACATAGCCCCGCACTAGGGAAACCCTGTGTCGCGGGTGCCATGGACACACACATAGACAACCACAAATTACACCCAAACTCACGAGAGAAATAAATGTAAGCCATACAAACATTTCTCCCCCCGGGAATCGAACCTGGGACCTCTGCGTGGCAGTCCGGCATGGTAACCGTTTGGCCACGGAGGCAGGTAAGTTAAGTTGAAGTCGTTCACAAAGTCACAAATTCATTGAAGGGGCAATGAATACGCTTCTACTATAGATTTCGGTTGTTATTCAAAATTTTCCATTTAATTTTTAATTTAATTTCCGGTTGTTATTCCTGAGCGTCTCTCGAACGATTTAAATGCTACATCGCGCCACTAAAATAGTCCATACACAAACACACTAACGCAGGGTAATAATATGGCGTCACCGTCTATGTGGAAAAGGCACGGAACTAAAACCGAGCGTAGAATGTAACATTTTCGTAACGAAAATGATCTACACACGAGCACTTTATTCTTATTGAATTTCCGCAGCGCAGCGATCTCTGTGAAACTGTAGGTTTATTTACTTTGATGACTTATTATAAAGTTAAATTATTTATGAAGTAAACTGTACAATTAGGAAACTGAAATCAGCAAATTTCGTACTGGTTCTCAATATTACCTATGCTGTAACCGTTGTTTTGACAAACGTAATATTTCGGCACTTCTTAAGTTGTCGACTACACTCCTTTTTATGGGTGGGGACAGAGATAATGTCAACAATTACAGGCCTATATCGGTACCTATTGCCAGTGATATCTAAAATTCTGGAAAAATTACTAAATAAAAGATTACTAAACTATTTAATAAAAACGATATATTGCCTGTAAACCAACTAGGTTTTCGACATGGAACATTTCGGATTACGGAGGATACAGTAATATCCTTGAGTTCTCTAGTTACAGAACAGTTTGACAAACGTAAGAAACATTTGTCAGTATTTTCGGACTTAAGAAAACGTTACACACCGTCTCTCTCCCCATACTAGTACACAAATTAGAAAAGATAGGTAGGTATAAGCAGTACTTCGCTTTGTACATATCACTGATTACTTGACAAATGGGAAGCAAACAGTGAAACTAGATAACTATATCAGTGGGTACGAAGTGATTTTATATTGCGTGCCCCAAGGTAGCGTTCTTGGTCATATAAATGACCTATGTAATATGCAGATCAAGAAAGCTAATATCTTCTCTTATGCTGCTGATACGGGCATTGTATTCACTGATAATTTTTGGGATGGTCTGAAGTCTAGTACGGAACGGGGACCGGAGCATGTAAACAGATGGTTAAGTAACAATTCTTTTACGTCAACTACTAATAACACAAACGACATCTGTTTTAGTACAAATAATGACACTTAGCCCAAAAACAATTCTTACGTAAATATTCACAATTGCAAAACCATAGGTAACACTCGTAACTGCACATTTTATCATAAAAATTGCACAATCAAAGTATTTGGGTGTTTTTGTGGACCAGCGACTCTATTGGTATCCACACCTGTCATGTCAGATCAAACATGTCATTAAAAGAATAAGAAAACTTAATTGGATTTATAAAATACTAAGCTATGTAGTGCCAGGATCAGTTACTGGTCTGCAAGATTCGACTAGGAATTTAAGGAAATATACGTGAGTTTGGTTCAATCAGTATTGATTGATGTATTCCTGTATCACCCCATACAGGAATTCATCAATCAATACTGATTGAACCGCTAAAACTCGTTTTCTTGAGTTGGACCGTGCGCAATGCAATTTGATCAAAATAATGTATTAAAAAAAAGAATATTTTTTCACTAGCAGCTTGTATGAACTATAACTCTACATCACTCAATCTGTACTCACACAACATAAGTCTCTTAAATATGATCTAAATATTCCGAAGAGGAAAAGGAAAGACACTGTGGTACAAGTATCTAAAGTAAATACAACATTTGTAAACAGATAATTCAACAAGCGATCGGCCTGTACAATTCGATTCATAAGGAATTAGAAACATACGTCAAAACTTATTGAGACTGCAAGAAATTTATCTCAAAATGGTAACAGTCCAAATCGTACAAGGAAACGAAGATCTAATGAAATACTTGGTTTAAAAACACTAATCTCTTTGTTTATGACAACACGCATGGACGTCTGAACGCCCGCCCGCTCGCACGCACGTACGCACACATGCACGCACGCACGAACGCACACACACACGTACGCGCGTACGCACGCAAGCACCGTTTAAGATTCAAATTAAATTTTAAATTGTAATCTAACTTTCAAGTTAGGAATTGTTCATTTTGAAATTGTTTGCAAATGCAAAAAATTTAATTGCAAGACACCGAAATTGCAAGTTACAATGTTGAATGTGTATTTATCGCTATGGAAGAGCGGTGCCTCTTGGTATAGGCTTGATAAGCTTAATAGGAGGTTACCATCCACTGTTAGTGTAAAGTAAATTGTATTACCGAAATAAAGATTTATTGTTCCTATTTTAAGTAAAACTCTGGCAAATAGCAAGAGCACATTGTCCGATTTGTTTATCTTTCAAGTGACGCGTTCTGAGTTGACAAGTAATGTATTTGCATGGACATGGTCTTTTAATAATATTTATACATGGTTTTAGGGTCTTCAATAGCTTAATTTAAATAAAATAATGTTTTTCTTGGCTGTGTATATGCTTCAATTAAATAAAGTTACTCAATAAATAAATGAGCCCACTTGTTTGTGACTCACCCTTTCTATACTGAACATCTACGTCAATAGGCACTGACTTCCCCGGCACATAATGCCGTTTGGTCAAAGCAATCTGCTTAGTTTCTTCATCAGGGAAGACGAATTCCAACTCAGCCCATTGATTAACTATCCTTAGGTTGCTTTCGGCGCGAAGTTCTGGCCAGAAGCACGCCAGGTAGTAGAATAAGAAAAAAAATCTCTGGAATCCGTAAGACATCTCTGCCTCGAACCTGTTGAGGAAAAAACAAATTTTGCTATCAATCCTGTTTATAAACAATTATTACAATTTGTTTTTACTTTTATAAATTATTATTATTATTATATATTTACGAGCAAGAAATGTTCAAGGATCAAAAAAATATGTTGTATTTTTAAATTGCTTTTATGTGTGCACGCGCCGTATACGTCCGTACGCACACACACACGTTTGCATAATCTCGCGGTACACTCGCGTTGCATAACACTGGTCGTCTCATGCGCCATTTATTATAGAATCAAAGAAATCGTTCTATCTATCGTCTAATAGACATGTTCATTGAAGAGTGCATCAAATCGGAAATGTTCAGCATTTCTTTTTTATTTCATATCATACCCCATATTCAAGATCAATCCGCGATTCTGGTATAAAAATATCAATACATATCAACAACAACAAACTTACTGCATTTAAATTTCAATTATAGCACTAGAATATTGTAACTAATAATCAATTTGGGAAATTAACTTTTTCCAAATTGGTTCTGAGTGGTGCCCTGGAGGGAATGCCGCTGATTTGGTATTCATAATACAGCAAAGTCACTAGCTTGAGATTACGTAATTGGTGTGGTTGTCAAAAATAGAACTTTAGCACCAGTAGTAGTGTTTAGTAGCAGTCGAACTCGTATTATCAATTTTATTTGTATTAGGTACTGGAAGTTCAGGTAAACATACGGGCTGCCTGTTCCTATATCAGGTCATTTATATTATGATAGTAATTATATAAAAAAATAAAATTAAATAAAAAGATTAACAGTGCTTTAATAACGTAAAATAAAATAATTATAATGAACAAAACAAAAGAAATAGGTATCATCATTATAAATAATAAACGTAATCAAAAAATAATAATTTAAATACCACGTATAACGTTTCGTCCTAAATAAACTACTTGCATGTCGCTTCTAGTTTTGCCCGTTCTATGTATCTTTGTTAATTTTGTATAGCAACATTCATGTTAGTGATTTAACGAATTAACTCACATTTAAATAAGCAACTACTTACACACTTAATGTAAAATAATTTTTATGCTTAATCTTGTCGTTCGATATTTCAACTCTGTTCCTTATAATTTGTTTATTTTTCTCATGTTAAGTGAATGAAAATTCATAATGAGAAATAATTCTTTAAACCTTATTGAAATACAAATTATGATACTGTTAATGCTAGTAAAATTCAACTCAAAATTAGAACTCTATGCTTGTATATAGCTCTAAATCACATCAATTATTGTCATATTATCTAGATAGATACTCATATGCATTGTGGTATTGTATTGACCATAGATTTAGATTGACATATATATATTTTTAAATTTATTAAGGCTTTGGCAAAGCCATCAGCCTAAAAATGAAGTTTAATTGTTTCTGTAAATATGGCCGCCACAAAGAGGATAGGCAATTTGAGGCGGCGTGCTTGGATTGACTCGGAATTCCTTAGAACGAGCCGATACGGGTATTTTAGTTCGAGATTCGTATAATTTCGCGTTTTAATCTTCGATTAAGGTACAATAGCACTATCCTATTCCACTTTAAACTAGATTTCACAAAATAATTGAAAGTCGAAATAAAAACGACACTTTTCCCTCCAAAATGCCCAGAGCGAATCTAGATTGACATAATGTACGATAGACAATTAGACAAGCTAGCACCGGCCCGCCGTTCCCGCCATGATGACACGAGAGACAGTGGCGCGAGCGGGCGTGTATAGCACGTGTATGTGACGCAACGAACGTTGTTTTATTGAGCTATCCTTGTATTAAGGAATTTGGATGCTACAATGGTGACCCTGACACAGAACGAGAGTAAAATGAATAATATTCCTATCTTAGAGATCGCTTGCAGTGTGTTCGCTCTGATGAGGCTTCTTCTGATTGGTATGACTTAGCCGTTGGTGTCCCTCAAGGGTGGTGTTCTTTCCCCTCTCCTCTTCTCTATTTTTATTAACTCTGTCACTTCTGCGTTGTCCTCAAATTTTCATCTCTACTGACGATTTGCAGCTGTACCGTAGTTTTAAAACTTCTGATGTCATTGGAGCCGTTGAAGCAGTAAACGTTGATTTAAGAAACATCGCACATTGTTTTTTACATTGTTGGTTAATCCCAAAAAGTCGCAAGCCATGATTGTGGGAAGTGGGCGTATATGTGGCAATTTGGATATTGATTATGTCCCAATTATACAGTATAATTCAACGCCTATTGCCTGTAATTCTACTGCTACTAATTTGGGTCTGCCTCCAAAATTTATGCCTTTAAAATCCAATATCTGTTTAGTTCAATCTCTTATTTTAACCTTCCTAGACCATGCTGATTCCTGCTGTTTAGATGCTACTGAAGAACTGCTAAATAAGCTTGAACGGTTGCAAACTACATGCATAAGTTTCATCTTTGGCCTTCGTAAATATGACGGAATCTCACACTATCGCAGTCAGCTCAAGTGTCTTCCCATTCATCTCCGCAGGAATTTGCAAATCGTCTCTCTTCTTTACAGCATTCTAAATACCTTTGTCTCCCAGGTATCTGAAGGAGCGTTTCAGCTTTCTCGGGTCCCAAGTCTTGTCGCTCTCTCGTTAGGTCCCAGTTGTCTTTTCCATCATTCAATTCCGGGTTTTATTCTCACTCCTTTACTGTTCATGCTGACCGCATTCACAAAAATATTTGAATATGAATTCAATAAAAATTTAAAATACAGTGAATAGCGACATCTCTCGCCAGGTCTGGTAGCTGCTAAGGTATCTAACTGGGTGATAAAGCTTTACCAATACGGGAAATGAACTTTTCTGAAGTGCTATTTCGCGATTATCAAATATTATAATGCACAAATTAATTAAAAACCACAACATCACTTACCAAATCAATGTGAATAATATAAAATTATATTAAATTTATGTTCACACAATTAGTCAAATAGCGAAATGAGCGTAACACACCGATGTAAATTATTTGTCAAAGAGGACCGCGTTTCCGTCCGCCATCTTGAATCTTTCAGTCAGTCAGTTAATATAATAAGATATCGTTTTTCGCACATAAATTCCAAAAATTCAGAGGTACGAGTCCGGATTGTAATCCACGCCCTCTGCTTGAGAACCACTGGCTTTGCAGAGTAGCAACTCATTTCAATTTTTATTGAAATTGATAAATATGTATGAAAAACATAAGACAGAATTAGGTGAGTCTATCCGCGAAAACCCAATTTCATCCATTTTAGTAATTAAGTGTTATTGTTTTAGTTGTTACGTATTTTATTCTTTTGTTCCATTAATACAATATCATGTTTTTCCATCACACTCAATATTATGCGTATAGGCATTGACTTACAATTATATGGACGTCGGGTCCGCGCTAAAAAGTGTCCGCACTTGTAAGGCGCTAAAATCGTATACAGAGCGCGACACTCCGCTTTAGTCTTCATTTGTTCTACGGACAGCGCGATACTGCGATGACATAACAATTTAAATTTCGAATAGGTTGACTTGGGACATTTTTTTCGTGGTTTTTGTATTAGACCCGTCGTCCATTTATTTGTAAGTCAATGCGTATAGGTAAATAGCGAGAACAGTTTGCTCATTTGGTGCTACATTGTACCTAATTGTAATTTTGGTGCAAACTCCATCTTCTAAGGCACAATGAAATATATTTCTGAGCCATTTGAGCGTACTGTTTCTTATATATTAAACTCAGTTGTTTTAGAAAGTAGTGATCACGGTACTGAAAACAATGCAAACGATTTGACAATGAAAATCTCACGTCGAGAATAGAGAAGAACAGAAAATAAAGTTTGTACGAGAATTAATAAGTAACAAATATGAAAGCTGTTATAAGCACGTATATACGGTGTATATAGGTTCCATATTACTTTACGGTATTATAATATGCGGTAACAGATCGAAACAGGTTTTGTAGCACAAAAGAAATGCATTAGAACAATTTATGGATTTCCCCTGTGACGGCGAACGTCGCGTCGTATGGATCGAGCTGCCCTGCCTCCCGCGAACGAGCATAATAAGCGGGCCCCTTCAGGCCCCACTGTTTTCCGTGCGCTGCATTCAACTGATTATTCTAACAATCTAATATTCAATATTTTCTTAAACTTGAAAGGTTTGTACAACGTTTTACATTTAAAAAATATATGGTTTTTCCACTGCGTTTCTTCATTCGGAAACCTAAATATGTCCTCAGCAAGTAAGATACGGGATATCCCGGATGAAACATGCAGAACCTTGTTTCAGAGCCTTGGTCTGTGGCCAAAACCATCATTATGTCGTCGGTTTAAAGGTAAAACCACATAAGTGACATTTTCCACAAAAAGTTTTTTTATATATATTTTCGATGTTTTTTTGTATATATTATTTATATTTTATATATATACACACACTTGGCCGCAATCTCACCTGAGGTTAAGCGACGATGTGACGAGTTTGCCTAAAAATGTCTATTCACTCTAGCCTTGTATAGCCCTAAACTGTACTTTTCGGTGTAAAGTACCGCCTGACCTTGTAATGACTTGTAAAGTACGCCTAGTTATTTGCAGCAGTTTTTGCCAAGGACTCGATGTATTGCCCAAAGTTGACCCATAAAATTATAATAATAAAAACGCACACACTCAACATAACCCCGTACTAGGGAAACGCTTTTTTTTTTGACGGGGGGGAAATCTTTATGGATACCGTTATGTGGGGACGTACTAGGGAAACCCTGCGTCGCGGGTGCCATGGACACACACACAGACAACCACAAGTTACAACCAAACTCACGAGAGAAATAAATGTAGGCCATACAAATATTTCTCCCGGCCCGGGAATCCAGTCCAGGTAGGCCCTCCAGTCTGGAGGGAGAGTCCCCACATAACCCCTCAGTGTCCCTGGGCAAAAGGTACAACAGGGTATACGCGCGAAAGTATTTGGTGTGTTAAATGTATCCATGCTAGTTAGTGTTGATTGATAAATATTAATTATTTATTTATTTATTTATATTTAT